AGAGAAGGAGCAGACTTGCAGAATGTGCCCTTTGGAGATGTAAATTATTATATATGCCTGAGTTGGGGGAGGAAAAAAAAAGTGTAGCACTGTTAGTGAATGTTTGTAAATAAATGTTTGTAAGGCAATATATCTTTGATTGATGTGAAACAGCCTACCTGTGTTTTTTGTCAATGGCAAAGCCAGCCCCTGGACACCACTTGGTAAGGCCTCTTCCTAGACAGCCTTGTGAGTGTTGTCACATTTGTTCAATTTACAACCTTCAATGCCAAAGATAAATAAAGAATGTAAAGAAATTGTAGAAAAGTGTAGGAAAACCATGATCAGAAACTATTTCCCCAGGTACCACCAGAATGTCATCTGCCTCAAAAAAACAATAAACTTTTATGTGGAATAGGTTGGAATTGCACTGAAATTATAGAGGTGAGCACATCAGCTTTGTAGGTTGTCGTTGTTAAGTACCATCAAGTCAGTTGCCTCGCATAGCAATATGGGTTTCCAAGCAGTGGCTGGTGGATTTGAACTACCAACCTTGTGACTAGCAGTCCAGTGCTGATCCTGCAGTGCTACACCAGAACTCCTGTTAGTGTTTCAAATTATTACAGTGTACCAGCAATAACCCTAAGTTACGAAGAGTCCAAGGAAGGCATTTATTACAGAACAGTATGGTTCAGTTCTACATCTGTACTGCCCACCCAGTAGGTACTAGCTTGTGTGGCTATGTGGTCATTCAAGTTGAACACAATGCTGACCCTCAGTCAGGATACTCACATTGCAAAGGCTCTACAGCCACATGGGCTTCATGGCTACCAGATATTGGACAGCAGCTCTAGGAAGATAGGATCACAGAAAAGTTCTAATGGACAAACATGTCCTAGACAATATGCACTTGGGAGAAACCCAGAGCCTCTTAAATATTTCACTCTCACGTTTGATACCATTCGTCAAGCCACCCACAAGAAGCACTAAGAATGAAGACAGTGCTAAGCCTTTGTCCTTTTTGTCACTTCTAAGATACCCCCTTCCCTTGTTGTCAAGTGCCATTGAGTTGGTTCTGACCCATAGCAACTCTGTATAGGGTTTCCAAGGAGCAACTGGTGGGCTTGAACTGCCAACTTTGTAGTCCAGTACATTACACCAGTACATTACAGTACACCAGGACTCCGAGGTCCCACTAAGAGCTAGGAATATCCTGTTTCCTGGGGTACCTTCAACAGTTCTTTCTAGAATTAACTACCAGACTTAGAAGTCACCAGAGATGTTTCTGAACCACTGTCCTTGAATACAACAGATATTCCATAATTATCTGTGCCAACATAGGCCTTAGTTTTGGAAAAGGCGTATTATGTTGAACTTTTTACCATCAATAGGAATTCGCTGTAAATACATTCCATCCAGGCTCTTAGAGGATGCTTTGTATAGTAAATTAGGCAGCTATGTTAATCAATATGATACTGTAAGTTTGGGTAGCACACAGTGGCTCTGTACGGTATAAACACTGGACTGGAAACCATAAAGTTCAAGACCACTAGGCTGCTCTGTAGGAAAGATGAGGTTTTCTGCTCCTGCAAAGATGAACCCTGTGTTTAAATTCCGTTAGAGTTCCAACTCATAGTGACACTGTATAGGGTTTCCAAAGAGTGGCTGGTGAATTTGAACCACTGACCTAGCAGGTCAAACTGACCTTGAGGTCCAGTGCATTATCTCAATGCCACACCAGGACTTCCCAAAACCCTTTAAATTCTCCAACAGCACTCAGGCTGGGACTTCAAGTTATTGTGGACTGCCCTTTACCTCCCAAATTATTTATGCATATATTTATATTTCTAGACTGATTTCCTTACTTTCAACTGAAAACGAGACCCATGGGTTACACATTAAAGGCCTATCTAATAATTTATCACTCCTGAAACCTTTGTCTAGTCTCTTCACTGTCCCAAAGAAAATGGCTCTCATTTCCACCAGCATGTGGTACCCTCAGTGAGAAACTCTCACCATTCTTTCTGGCTCTAGTTCCCCTTCTTCATAAAACTCAATGTGTATGGCAGACTGTACAGAAATGATTTGTTATGTAATTATATATATTGCTACTTATCACATTTAAGTGTTCAAGAGCAAAGATGTCAATTTGAAGACTAAAGTGTGCCTTACCAAAGTCATGGTATTTTAATAGCCTCATATGCATGTGAAAGTTGGACTGTGAATAAGGAAGATCATAGAAGAACTGATGCATTTGAGTTATGGTGTTGGAAAATATTAAAAAGTACCACAGACTGCTAGAAGAACAAACAAATCTGTGTTGGCAGAAGTACAACAGAATGCTCCTTGGAAGCCGGATGGAGACTTCATCTCTCAGACATATTGTCAGGAGGGGCCAGTCCCTGGAGAAGGACGCCATGCTATATAAAGTGGAAGATCAGTGAAAAGGAGGAAGACTCCAAGAGATGGACTGGTACAGTGGCAGTTGCAATGGGCTCAAGCTTAACCATGGTGAGGATGGCGCAGGACCAGGCAGTGTCTGCTTGTATGTTGTGCATAGGGTCATGATGGATAGGAATTGACTCAACAGCACCTAACAACAATCACAAAATTATGACTAGAAGCACATTCTTCTATCTACATTTGGTATAAATGCTACAGTTCTGGCCAAGGAAAGGTTAAAACTGAATTACTGATACTGCTCTGTGGGTTTTTAGGGATATTATGCTTTTTAACCATTATAATTTTAACATGAGTCATGAAATCAAGCACATTAGAAAAATCATAATCTGTTATTTTTTAATCATCTTAAACCTTATGATTACAGAATTTACAAATTTATGCTGATATCTCCTCTACCTTACTCCTTCTAATAAATCTAAATCCGTCAAAGCACATCACTAATCACAAATGTACAATTCAATAGTTTTAAGTGCTTTTGAATAGCTGTTTAAAGACATTCTGAGTAACAATGTAGTCTTAGTAAAGAACTTAAAAGCAAAGTTCAGCTTGCTACTATATCTCATCATGCTGACTTTTAAAAGTATCTGACCTTTTGGATCATCTATCAAATGTGATAAGTGTGAAATTTCTTTATTTAATACCATACACAAACCACAATGAAAGGCTTCTTGTTAATTATAAAAGGCAACATTTTAGATACAGGGAATTTTAATTAGATTAACAGTTAAAAGCAAAAAAGATAAAGTGGCCATTGCTACCTTATCTCCCACCCTTGCATTTGAACAGGGTGATGAATACATATTGAAACAGGGCGAGACTTGTTCCATGAGGCAGTGAAAAGATTTCTCCAGTATTTAAATATATCCGTATAATCAGTTATACAAATCTAAATATAAAATCAATCTCCTATAGGTCATGAGAAGACCACTGTGAAAAACTTACCAATCCAACCTAGCCTCAAGTCTAATTGTATCGTAGGGAAAAGCAGCGATAACACTTGCTATCAAAAATTTAAAAGTCTGATCAATGTCATTTAACCACATCTAATCTTTTATTTAATTTAGGATTGTCCAAAAAAAAAAAAAAACAGAAAACAAAAACTCTATCAGCCATTCATGATCTGAACTCTGGTGTATGAGTCAATTTAAATATGGTACATGTTAAAAAAAAAAAGTCACAAGACATTCCTAATTTGTAATAAATAAAGCAACGGCCAATTATTACTCATTAGTAGATTTCTTGAGATAAGCTATCAAGTCTGCCCTTTCTCCCTTCTTCTTAATGCCAGCGAAGATCATTTTTGTTCCAGGGATGTACTTCTTAGGATTCTCCAAATACTCCATCAGTGTGTCCTCTCCCCAGGTGATGCCTAGTCAAAGAGAGACACATTAGTGACGTATTAGTGTACACTGTTGATAAAGGGTTCATTCTAGGCCAAAGACGTGCAATTTGTACTTTCAGTCATTTAGCAAGCAGAGCCCTCTTACCTTTGCTCTTATTGGCATCTGTGTAAGAGAATCCAGGGGCCTGACCAGTCTTCCGCCCAAACAAACCGTGCAGATTTGGCCCAGTCTTGTGCTTGCCTCCCCTTTCCACAGTATGGCACTGGGCACACTTCTGAACAAAAATTTTCTTGCCCTTCTCAACATCACCCATTTTGATTTCTAGAAATGAAAGCTCCCAGTTAGTCATGCTCCCTTCAAACACAATGGAAACCAATGACCACTCTAGTCACTTGATTACTAATTCACCGCTTATCTATCACATCAATTTTTTTCAAGTCTGAATTATTGCCTGCTTTGAATTTTACTTTTGTCAAAACCATGTGCTTTCAGTAATGGAAGGCATTATAAATGAAATGGGGGTAGAGATTGTGTTTTGAGGTATCATGTCCCACAGGGGTCTTTGGTGCTGGGATAGCCCAATTTCTTCAAATCCCCGTTTATACGGGCCCCGTTGTTGCTAAGTGCCGTCGAGTCGGTTCCGACCCATAGCGACCCTGTACAGGGTTTCCGAGGCTGTAAATCTTTACAGAAGCAGAAAGCCTCATCTTTCTCCCACGGAGCGGCTGGGTAGCAGGCTCTAAAAATGGGATGGCGCTAAACTCCAGAGGCAGGAAACTTCCTTGGGCACTGTAACGCCCACCAGTCACAAAAGGTTTCGATATCAGGACGAATCTTGTTTTACATAATACATTTCCAACACGTTCTTCAATACCAAAGACCCAGTATGAGAAATGGGAAGCTAGTTCAGAGCCCAGTATTAAGAGACCTGGTCAAGGTCACTCAGTGTCACAACTCCGATCCAGCTGCAGCTCAGTTACAGGAACCCAAACCAGCAGAATTCCAACTTTCTAGCAGGCCTAATTACTGACTCACACTCCAATAAAGCCATTTCTCCTTGAGGATACGGAAAGGAACGGCAGTTGTTTAAAAAGGAACAGTTGGAGGGCTGTTCGGTCCGCTCAGTTCACAGGGGTGGGCTCCGCGAGGTCCCCCAGGAAGAGCATCTCCACCCTGTAGCTCTGGGGTCCTCGGGAGCACAAGAGGTTCCCCACGCAGGCGGCGCCAAGGAGACCTTCTGGAGGCCTGGGCAGGTTAACGGGAGGAATGGCCTCTTAATACAGGGACAGCAGCTTTCGCTCTTCGGGGAACATATCTGCTCCACCGTTTTCAAGGCCCCCAGCACCGACAACGGGAGGGTCCGCGTCTCCGTCGGATCCACTCCCAAGTGGCCTCCAGGCCTTCAAGACTTAGGCTGATTTCCAACTTCTATCTTGATGGGCTTTCGCTGCCACCAAGCCCTGGCCCACTGGATTCTGCCTAACCACAACCCGCAGTGGCTGATCCGCGCGGGATCCACTCGGAGATCCCGGAGGCTGGCCTCAAACCGCCCGCGCGCCCCCCACGTGTAAGCCTCTCACCCACTGAGGCTTCCGGGGCCCAGTGCTCACCACTCTCTTATTAGGCAAGACACAAAAGTACCCGCTCAGAAGCCGGATGTCCCGCTCTCTAAGTCCAAGGGCACGCTGATCCGCGCCTATGAACCGGTGTTAGTGCAACCAAACTCGCTCCGCCCTCCCGCGACCCGGCGCGCGGCTCGGCCGACGGCTTCAGGGTGACGTCAGCCGCGCCTTATTGGTTCCAATCCTCCGAGCTTGCGTCAGCCACTTGCGCGCGCAGGCAGGGTAGCATGGTAGGTTGTACCACGAGAGTGCCCTTCCTTTCGAGGACTCCCTTGCCCGACTTTTACGACAGGCTATTGGACGTACGACGTCGAGGTTGTGCCGGGAGGGTTGGCATTCCCCAGCTCCCGCTTTTGTGCGCATGCGTATATTGGCAGGGTGAGCAGTGGTTAGTAGTTGAGCAGAATTTAGGATACAGCTGTAGGGCCCTTGACGTCATTCTCTTTGAGAAAGGTGTTTTTGCCCTTTCACCGGGAGAGGGCACCTAGCGGTCTCCTGGCTACCATCCTGTCAGCGGTCAACCTTTACCCAGACTGGCTCGTACTTTCTCAGCTGGCGCCAGCTACACCCCAGATGGAGAACCTGGAGCCAGGAGTTAATAAAATTTGGACAGGAGCCGGTGACCTTGTTCTTTTAGTCATCGCTTTCCAGGATGGTGCTGAAACTGTGGCAGCGACAAGATTATAGCTCTGAACCCTCATCTGCAGGGTGATAATAATTTAATATTATTAAAATGAAATCTTTTCCATATGGTCCATCTTCAGGAATTACTCAATTATTCTCATCTTGAGAGTACTACAGAGGCAATTAGTCATGGAGTGAACTTTAAAGAATCCTCTGTAGTTCAATCTCTTGTTTGACAGTTTAGGAAATTTCTGTGGCCTTAACACAGGAATGGGGGTGGGGAGTGGGGGTAGTCTTCCAGGAAGTTGCAGACTTGTGTACCATTAAGGCTGTATACTACAGGCCACATCTATGGAAAGATTGTTAATCCAATAGTACTCAGTCAATGAGGAACCAGGGGAGGGGCCTTCTCAGAATAGTATAAAATTCTTGACAAGCTGACCACTGGTCACATCTCTGCCTGTGACCACTATGTTGGGCACCCAGTTTTGCAAAACCAAATAAAGCCTCACACCCACTAAAATGAGTACAGATTGGATTTCTTGAGCATTTTGTCAGTAAGCACTGGTGATAACTCATCAGTGACCTCATAATCAAGAGAAACTAAGGTAGTATCTGGGGTATGGACATCTCTTGGCTGGACTGCAAAGGGTTTGGTTTTGTTTTTTAGGTTTTTGGAAATCTCATCCCTTTTAACCTAGATAAAGATCATGGAAATGTTGCTAAACTGAAACGAAGGCTTGCCACCTGTCACTGTAGTCAATCACAGAGATGGGGAGAGATCCAACCCAAGCTTTATTAGAAAGCCAGCAGTCTGGAGGACGGTGAGCATCATTTCTCAGGACCGTTCTGCCCATTATGAAGAGTGGGCACATTATATAGGCAAAATTACTTTTGAATGTACACTTAAACTATTTTAACATCAAGATAGTATTTTTCGGAAAAAAAATAATACAACAATAAACTTCTTCAAACATTCTACCTTTGTTGTTGTTGCCGTAGGGTTTCTGAGGCTGTAAATCTTTACAGGAGCAGAAAACCTCATCTTTCTCCCATGGAGCCACTGATAGTTTCAAACTGCTGACCTTGGGGTTAGCAGCCCGATTTGTAACCAGTACGCTACCAGAGCTCCTTAGTCTACCTTTAGGGAAAAGGAAACAATCAGGCAATAATCCTTCTCAAACATTCTACCTTTTAGGATCCAAGCTGCTTAGTTCCTGAGATAACTATCTGGGTGGGCTTAAACACATCCTGTTCTAGGATCATGAGTTCACTAATTTTTAAACTAACTTCGTTTGCAGGGTCTTCATTTATCAAGACACTGTGGGCTATTGTGTCAGACTGCAAAGTCGTTAGAACTGCAAGGTTGGTGGTTCAAGCTCACCAGCTGCTCCTTGGAAACCCTATAGAGGGTCGCTTTGGATCGGAATTGACTCAAAGGCACTTAACAACAACAATGACTAAACGGACTACATTTTGTTTAGATTGATAGATCCATGCTATAAGCTCAGGAGTCCTGTTATGGTGCTGTAGGATAAGCACTGGACTGCTAATCTCGAGGTCTGTAGTTCAAACTCACCAGTATCTCCTTGTGAACAGGAAAAGGTAAATCATTCACTGCCCTCTCCACCAAGGAGACAAGCTAACATGTTAAACAGGTTATAGAATGGGACCAATCCCCCTGGTTTCCCTCCTGTCCTCACCCTAGCCCCTCCGTGACTATGACCCCATACATGCCCATGTTGCCCTCCGTTGGGTGCACAGAATCTGGAGAAATTAGCTCCTCTGAGCCAGCAGGTTTAATAAAATCTGAAACTCTGCTTCACCTCTCCGAGTGGCTTCAGGATGGATCAGGAACTGCAGTGACACTCTCGAATCTAAAACTGTTCGGACACTTGGAAACCCTATACAGGATCACTATGGGTCAGAACTGCCT